GACAGCTCAGTGTCAGAGTCCTCACAACATACAGTAATGTTAATCCCCTCAAGTGTAAACCAAAGAACAAAATTTAAAATGGCTTACAACACAGTTCCTAGCAATGGGGTTTTGTGTGTTAAGAAGGGGTGAGGTGGTGCTCAGCTGTGTCACCTCAGGGAAGTCTGTGCTGTGTGGGAACCAGCACTATTGCTGTCACCACAGCGATCATACAGCGTCCTCTGGGTCACCACAGTCTCCCATTGCCCATCACCTCTGTCACTGCTGCTCCATCAGCCTCAGTCAGAACAGCCGGGGCTCAAGTCTCACCTATGCAGCCAGCTCCTCCAGATCCCCATCTACCTCCATCTACCCAATCTGTGCCGACCATCACAAGAGCCTGCACTGCTGTGGTTTTGGATTAAAATGACTTTAGAAGGTGCTTCACTTAGCAAAGGAGTAGGCTACATGATGCTGGAACTTATTTGGAAGATCCTATTATTCCTCAGATAATGTCTTAAAAGTAGAACATTATGATCTAAGGGTAAGGATCCTACCACGTAATGTGATAAATTAGAGATCAAAATTCCAGGACTTGGAAATATAGCTCAGCAGTTAAGAGCACTTGCTGCTCAGGCAGAGGACTTGGGATTCAGTTCCCAGCACCCAAATGGCCCCTAACCAACTTCTGTAACTCCAGTTCAGAGAATCTGATGCCTTTTTCTGGCCTCCAATGGCATGCACATGAGTACAGATATACATGCAAGCAAAGCAAAACACCCATATATAAAAGTAAATAAATATTTTAAAATTAGTCCTCAATTCCTACATTGCTAACACACACACACACACACACACCTTACCTCATGACATTACCTCACTGTTGTACAGTGAGTAGCCCAATTTGATGACTATAACTCACTTGTTCCAAAATCATATTGAATCTTTTTTTTTTCACAGAAAAAAAATGGACATAAAAATGCCTCCTTTAGACATAAATGCCCAAGTTAAAGGCCAAAGTGTTTGGAGCAACTGACAGTATAACTCAAATGGTCAGAATATTCATATACAGGCAGGAAGGCAGCAACATTTAAATATGAAAGAGGTGGTAGTTATGTTTAGAAGCAGTGTCTCATTACAGCCAACAACACACAAACATTCAGTATGCAACAGAAACTAAATGCC